AGGTGTACGAGAATATATATATATATATAGATTGAGTTGACATCATTTGAATACACTACCTATATAGATATATTTGCGTGTTCTATTTCATTTCACTTTAACTATATGTTAATTAGTAGTTAAAGCTTTAACGTCACGTAATTTCAATTATACATCTGCTGCAGCTGACGTTCAATAAAGTAATCCGGGATATAACAAATAGGATTTTGTTATTGAAATTGATTCATGGAGATTTCATTCGTTACTCAGTTGGATGCTGTTCTGAATAGAAAATCCTGTTCTATCTATTTTTCATCATTTTATTCGTGAATATAAATTAACAAAGAAATAACTTCGATAAATTTTTAATTATTATTTACGACATTATTTTATCGATTTTTTTGAATTTATTTTCTTTTTAAATATTGCTGTGTTTTATTCATAGATTTTTAATTAACGTAGTTATGCATTAAAAAAAAATATATATACAGCAAGTGATCTGTGTAATATTGGGGGGTTTATATTTGCTATTGAATTTTTCAACCGTATTATTTTTTAGTCAATTTTACATTCAGCTGGTAGTTCTAAAACGGAATTCATATTGTTTTAAAGGTCAATAGAAAATAGGTTGTATGAATTTTCAACCCTGACTTTCTACTAATAAATAATCACTTTTTTTTTTTTAAAGTTAATATGATATTTTCATTCTCACAGATATTTTATTAAACATTAATAAACAATGGTAAGAAATTTTCTCCTGATTTAGAAATTCAAATAATTAATAATAATAGAGCATTAAAAAATAATTGATTAATTATGAGCATGAATATTTCTATTTTAAACAACAGCATATCAGCTTTCAATTATACGTTTATTGGAAAGTTTTGAGGTTAAAGCATTAAAATATATGATCAAGGCTTTCATAGTATAGTTGTTTGAATATAATTTTGATTTTAACTGTACATATGTATATTATAGATATTGAGCACGCCAGGTGAGAAAGGCCATGTGAACGAGTTCGCGTGTCTTTTAAACTCTCCGGTTTCATATTATGTTATTATTGTGTCGGAAATATACAAAGTTTAATATTTCAATATACAATTATATGAATTGTTCTCCTGCATTTCTATATGAAACTTCCAATTTAAATTAAATGTATAATATTGACGTAACATATAAAGTATAAAAACAAGTTTAAAAATACCATGATTATCATGATAAGCTTTATGATATAGTTAAAACATATATTCAGTATAAATTCATTTAATAATGTATTTATTGATTATAATAAATGCATAAATTGTTAAAAAATTTGTCTTATGTAATATCAATGCTGACGATATTTCTTTTTCTGTAAAAAAAATGCCCGTGGCAATTTATTTTCAATTTAGATATTTCTTTCTTTAAAAAGATTTAATGGAAATTGTAAATTATCTTCAAATAATTTCTTGAAAAAAAATGACATTTCAATTTATTTATATTAATATTCTTTTCTATTAATATTAATCAATATTGAAATCTTTTCTTTAATATTAAATGAAAGAAAATTATATATATCAGATTTTTAGTTTTAATTATGTGCTAAAAAAAAAAAAAAATTAAAAACCCCATCGACTTGAATCAATTAAATAAATTTTTAAATTATCCTTCATTTATCAATTCGTTCAAATTTTATCATCGAGTCATACCTAATAATAACTCTACCATAGTAATAATAAGCCAAACGTGCAATCTTGGATGATAATCGTTTCAGAATGACCCGAAAAAAAAAAAACGAGGGATCTGATTTGCAATCCGGTCGATTGTGCATAGCTCGTATGACATGAAACACGTTGAAACACGAGGGCGCAACACATATTATTCGAAGAAGCGAACGAGCGTGCAACGGATGAACGAACACGGCCACAGAAGCATCTGCCGCTTCGTGACTTTTGGGGTCGGTTTGTGTGTATTTGTGTATCCACGATATGTCACACATATTAACACATACATGTTATTAAAGGCGTACTCACTCACTTACTCACTGACGCAAGTGCATAAAGAGAATCTGAAACCTAGGGTATATATCATAGAACACGAAAAGTATATGAGGGGCACAACATCCCCAAGTTGCAGGCATATGGTGTCTATGTGTATGAGTTTTTTACTATAGAGAAATAAATGAAAAAAGAGGGTTGAAAGTAAAGATACTTCTCTCTTTATTTATACTTGCACTTCTTTTTTTCTTCAACGTTTTCATCACATGCCAACCCTCTGAATAAATACCATACTTTGTCGTTTTAGTGTAGAATTTGCTACACACTCTTATGTATTTTTCCTCTCTTTTACTACACCTAATCTATAGAGACTTGTATCTTGAAACCTAGCTTTTCTATCTCTCGCTATATATCTTATCCTCTTCCCATTTCCTCTACTCTACCCGAGGAGTGGTTTAAATCACTTTTCAACTGCGGTAATACCATCGCCTCCTACCACTACACTGAACCACTGACTGGTTCTCCTCCCTGTCCTTATAACTTTCTTTTTGCCCTCTTTCTCCAATCCTCGTTTATCCAGTTTGCTTCTTTCTGCACTTTCAAGCTCACAGTCTCTCTTATTTCTTCTTCTTATTGAATCTGAATCGCTGCCGTAGCGCACGCCAACACGATAATACTAATAAGACGGACATAAATGCTGCAAATGCTCTTAATGCTACGAAAAGAAAAAAAAAACGATGAAAATAACGAAAATTAATGCTGTCATTTATAATTCAAAGATTCTTCTTGTCCTAGGAATAACTTTGCTTCTTTTTATCATTGAAATTACATTTGGATTTTCCGGTGATTATTATTATTATCAGGATGGAGTGCTATCAAAGTCGAGATTTTTATTTTTGATGTTGATGATAGTAGTCTATTTTAACAACCTCATTTGATGTTCATAATTGACTCTACTATAACTTTAAAGTAATCTTTTTATTTAAAAAATATTTCTTATGAATGAAAAATAATAAATATTTTTATTATTTAATATCGATTGCATTAGATTTTATTTATTTCTGTTTAATGAAGGTATTTCATTAAAATTTCAACTCTATTTTGGAATACAAAGTAAAATGTAAAAAATAAAACAAGTATTAAAAAGGAAAAAATTTTTTATACTACAATCGACTCTCCTCTCTAGCTGATCCCTGATGCAGAAGCCATTATTGTGCATTTTATGCGCATTTATAAGAGCCTTTGAAAAGCTTTTTCCATGCTTTTTCATTTTTAAACTTTTTACTATAACTTGACGACAGTTATGAAATACCCAACAATGTTATTCTCAAATACTCATTGACATACTATTGTTTACGTGATTATGAATTACAAACACCACAATTTATTTTTATATACATCGCTATGCACTTGATGTGCATCTATAAAAAACAAGTGTAACTATAAAAAATAATAAAAATAAAAAAACATCAAACCGTTTATAATAGACGCGACTTGTCATATTAAATTATTATGATACGTATTAGTGACTCTAGCTACTTTAGCTATCTTTGACTCTGACCTCCATATAAATGTAGATAACAATTTTAAATTGACACTTGCTCAAGAGTGACCATTTTCAAGTAATGATTGATAATTTTATGAGTTTTTCAAAACGATAAAAATATTTTTAATGTTATCAGCTTTAGAGAAATTGAATAATTGATATAAAACAAATTGTGGTATTATTTTTATGCGATTTAATTTAAGTTTATTTTTAGATATTTAAATTAATTTTAATTAGGAGATATTTTATTTGTGTTAACGATGTATATCTTTTAAAAGCATTTTATTCACATTTAATAGAAGGCTTTTAAAAAATTACTGATAGCATAAATGTTTGAAAAAAATCAAAAAAACATTATCACGAAAACATGTTTTTATTGAGAAAAAAATTTTTTTTTTCTCAATTATATAAATTAATAACGAAAAAATAATTAATATTTTTAGAAAGTTTTTTTCGAAGTATTAATAAATTTAAATAATGATGGATAATATTTCTTTTACTATCAAAGTTAATTTTAATGAATACTTGAAATTATTAAAATATTCATATTCATGCGTCAATGCATTTTATTGATTTATATTGATTAAAATAAAATGTCCAACAGTTTTATATGAATTTTTAATGCTATTTAATTATATATTTGAGTAGTAAATTGACCGAGTGAATAAAAAGTATTTCCTACACGCAACGATAATCAATGAGTAATGAATGATTAATATACATTTATGATTAAGTTTGTTTTTGATATCTTTATCACTGATTATCTTCAAAGTCTTTTTGTTGAGTTCTTGGGAAATGTTTTCTCAATTAACTCCAACAACTAATGATGATGTTAAATGATATAAAAAAAATTTGCTATACATGAATGAGCAATTTTTAGATTGGTACATTAAAGATGATAGTATTGGTAGTAATCCAAGTCTCTAGGAATGATATGTTGTGCAAGTTAAGTATTCCATTGGCGTGGGAGTAAATGATTGCAAATTACCAGACATAAAATGACAGTAGTTGACTAATCGATAGGAGGATTATATAGTGTAGTCAGTGAGTTAGAGTAAAAGAGGATGAGGGAGTGGAAGTAGCTGAGTATGGATGAGAAAATGTAGCAGACGAAGGTACGAAACTGAATGTCTGTGTTGGTAGAGAAAGAGGAAAAGAGAGGGATAGTATAAACGAGAGTAGAGACATACAAGAGTCTAGAGAGAATGGCAACGTGTCGTCTGCCTTCCGGCTTGAGCTTGGTAGTCGTCTACGATACGATGTCTATGGTTGGGCGTTTGCCAAAATGCCGCCGGTAAAATTAATCGCTCTCTGACACGAATTCCACCCCAAGTGGGAATACAAATTTGTTGGCAAAGCAAGTAGAGAGGAACTCGTAGAGTCTTGCTCGTTTCTCGTGAGAGCCATCTGCTCATGAAGATTAATGAATGTAGAATTTATATTCAATTGGAATATCTGAGTTGTTTAAGCTCACTAACCACGACGTCTTTATGTTCCAGATTTGGATTAATGCCGAGGTTGTCACACCAAGGTGGACTCGAACGAGTGCGAGAGAATGATGCCGAGTTACCTGGAAGTGAATTTATCACCCAAGGATTGTTGATTACATTCATCGACGTTGGTGTTGAATATAAAAAAAATAGGTGATCAAGTGCTGGTAATGGTGGTTGTAGTGGCTGTGATCAATTTTGGTGATGGTAGCATAGTGACGTAGAAAAAAGAGCGCAAACAAGAGGATAAAATAAATGCGAGTGTGCAGGTGGTGTTGATTGAAGAAGTGGTGAATTGAGGGTGTTTTAAGGTGAATGAAGTGACGATTATCGTATGTCTCGGGAATAAGGATAAGGAAGGATATATTTATTAAGTAAACGAGAGAAAAGGAAAGAGTGTTGTTGTGAAGGAGTTAACGAAGACGAGAAGTGGATAGAAGTGAAAGGAGATACCAGGGTGTAGTAATAGGAGAGGAGTAATGTGTTCAATGGACGGGGAGCGTCTTGCGGGCGGTGGTCCGTGTTCAAGCAAGTCAGGCAGTGGATTCTGCTCGGAATCGAAGAGACAAGGCGTCGTGTCGGTGGCCAGGCTGGCGGGCGCCGGGGAAACGGTTTCAAGGGCATGGCGACCACGCCAATAGGCGGTCGCCTCCCTAATTTAAACCGCAAAGGAACCTCACCGTGTGTGGCGATATCAGCGACAGCGACATCATCATCATCATCATTATCACCGTCATTAACAGTATCATCATCGTCATTATCACTATCATCGACGGCGAGTGTTGGTGTTGGCGGTAACAACAATAATATTAATCAAAGTAGTAGACGTGAGCGTGCTGCTAATAAAGATCATCAGGATCATCAGAGACGTCAGGGCGAAAAGTCGGTGTGTCGTGATTCGAAAGCAAGCACAGTGGCTGCTAACGTTGGGGAAACGGACACGGCCACGACGAATGTGACCAACAACTTCGAGTACGACGACAATGAGTGGGACATTGGCATAGGCGATCTAATAATCGACCTCGATGCTGATATAGAGAAGACGAGGGACGAGAAATTGAGTTCGGGAAACGGGATGGCTTCAACGCCTGCCTCGGCAGCAACAGCCACGACTAATCAGAATCATCAATCACAGCAGAACGCAACACAACACAACGCAACTGTACAAAATTCATCGTCATCGGCCATCACTGCCACTGGCAACAGTCAATCTTCATCATCGTCGTCGTCGTCCTCGTTGTCCTCATCGTCGTCGCCGTCCTGCGGCGTTAATTCTACGTCTGGTGGTCAAAGTAATTCAGTTAATTCTAGTAACGCTAGTAGCAATTCAAATACGAGCGGTAACGCTAATTCGGGCAACGGCCCAAGTGGTAAACAACAATCTGGTACAGTAAACGCAGTGCACATTAACGCCGGAAATCCCGGTAAAATGGCTGTAGAACACTCGGCTACTGTTGATAAAGGCCTCAAGATGAAGATCAAGCGAACTAAGCCTGGTACTAAAACCAGTGAGGCTAAACATGAAATTGTCAAGTCCAATGAAATTAATGGTACGACATCGTCCCAGGAAACTAATAGTAATTCTTCCTCTTCCAATTCATCGACCTCATCTTCCGGATCTTCAACGTCTTCGTCCTCATCAACGTCATCACAAAATTCCGTTGGCGACGTAACAACCAATAATAGTTCGTCGTCCAACAAATCTAAACCACATTCGCCAGCGTCAGCTGCATCGGGTCCACCAGCATCGTCGACGGTCGGCTCTAAGAGAGGCTCAAGTGGACACAGAAGAGATAAAGCACGTGATAAACATGAAAAGCCTCAAAGTAATAGTCATGGACCTCAGCAAAGTAAACCCGAAATGAACGGTACTGCGAGGCCAGTGTCACAAAGTCAAAATTCCTCGGGTGCAGCTGCACAGTCTCAAGGACCAACCCCAGCAGCAACAGCACCTCAACAAACCCAAGGTCCACCTCCCAGTTCGAGAACTGGTTTCCCAGTATCTCAAGGTGCTGGACCACCTGTAACTAATGCTACTGCACCATGTCCACCACCAAGTCCTGCCTCAGCGACAGCTGCTGGATCAGCAGCTAAGCCGGAACAGACTAAAGTAGCAACTGTACCTGGATCTACACTTAACTCATCTGCGGATGAATCGATAGATACATCAACGTGTAGTCCGCCACCTGTAAAAAAACTCAAAACTTCAAACTCGGAGCCAAAGGTAAGTAATTTAAGTATATGTTGATGATGTATAATTGGATTCTCTGATGTCATCATCATTATCATCATCAGTTAAGTCTGTGGCTAGTTGGAGGAAAAAAAAAATACCAAGACTAGTCTCAACAGTCATTCGCTCTCACCTTGGCACACATCATGACGTAGCATTGTATGTAGTAAGACAATAGTGATTATAATCACAAGGGTTCATTTAGCAGTTCCAACGTACCTCATATAAAATAACTTGGCACTCACAACATACACACAAACAGTTGAATAAAACATTAACTAATTGATAATAATAGATTACATGGAGCAATAGTTTCTCTACTCGTTTGATCATAAAAGCCTAAAACCATCAATTAATCTAATTGCTTCAACGACAACTCCAACTCTTTCTTTACTCTGTATTTAATAGACCTTGGGGATTGGTGTTCTAATTAAAAATCAAGTCTTGAATACCTCGGTCAGTTGATATGTCAGCAAACAATTTTTTTATTCTTCCTCTATAACACACCAATTTACGTGAATTGTATGGCAATGTCGACGAACAGTTGGGGGTTGATTAGGGTTGGTCGCAATGACGAGATAGAAAGCGACACAGAGAGAAACGATGTATGATGATAGCGACGGCAATGGCGAGACAGCAAGAACTACTGTGGTGTTAGTTCGTACATGACTCGAGTAAAATTGGGGAGTGGAAAGCAAGGGAAAAGGCGGCTGGGTTTGAGAGAAGGGAAGTGCAGGGTCGCGGACGGGGTTGAAATCAATACTCTGCGGTCTCCGCCCCCGCGAATACACGGATGAATACACGAACAAACACGAGGGCGAGACTACATGATGGTGCAGGCAGTTGAGGGGTAGCTTTGCTCTCGTTCACTCTTGGAGATGTGGCTCTAACTCCCTCCAATCCTGTCTCGATTCAACATATAGCTCCTTCGACTCGACTTTACCAGCTCCTATGTTTCCTCTTCCTGTTTCCTCTTTCGCACTCGCCTCGTTTTATCCTTCTACACTGCACTCTCATATTCTGCCTACGAGCTACCCTCTGGCACGAAATTGCGACACCGACATAAAAGCTCTTTCTAAATGAAATACCTTCCGTTCTAACGGGAAGCGAGCTGTTCTTCTCAACCAATGTTCCTTATATTTTTTCGACCCTTTTTTTTTCTCTCTCTCTCTCTCTTTCTTTCCTTCGTACTCTTTATTATTCTCTTCTACCCTCTATATTTTTCTACGACCCCTTACGCAGCTCATAATCGTTTGTATTATTGGTAATCGACATCTTCAGTATTTTTTCTCCTTTTTGTCGAGTTTTTATAGGCTTTGTTATCAGAGGTATTTATTGACAAGAATTTTGGTTTATACACTGCTGTCAAAAAGTCAAGAATCAATGGGATTTGTGATAGTTTATTTATAAAAAAAAAATTATTTCTACTCCAACATTGTTTGAAATAAAATACTCAATCCTTTTATACATTTATTTATTAAAATCAATTGTTTAAAATCAAAGCCAATTTTAGTTTTATTTTAAACAATACTTGTCATACAATTTTATTGATTTTTTCTCAATCAGTGATGCAAAGTGATTACAAAAAAGACATTGTAATAAATTCCATTAAAATCAGTCAATGTTGATCTACAATAATACTGGAATGAAAAATAAAAAAAACTGTTATAAAAGTTATTAAATTTTAAAGATTAAAAAGATGAACATTTTTAAAATAAACGTTATTTGTTAGAGAATAATTCTGTTTTTAAACTTTGTGATGGTAATATGCATTTTTATGAATATCAAAATCTCTATTCCGTCAACATTTATTTTGCATAACTTACTCTATCATTATTTTCCAATAAAATTTTTATTTCACTTGATTATCATAGCTGCTATTAAATGTCATCGTAGTAATCTTGATTATCTAATCAATATAACTTATCTATGCGTATAAAACATAAACTGTTCGGTTACCAATCTGACCTTTTAACGGTGTTTAACCTCACATTAGTTAATTGCATCTGAAAGCGAGGCAATCAACTTATCGATTAGATTTTTCATGTCGATCGTAGGTACACAATTTATCATGTCACATAAACCAACTTATCTTCTAAATCTCTTTATATAAATTTTCCTTCCATATGTAAACTCTCCATTACTGGTATAATTATTCATCTTTTATAAATTTACAATTCATTCTACTAATTTATTTTTCTATTAAATTCATACAAAACAAATGGAAAAAAAAAGAAAAAATACTAAAAGTGAATTACACTTGAATGCTTATACAAAAATGGTGCAGGTGTTGTGCCAACGGTATTTTTTCTTTTCATCATAATTATTTGTTTCTTTTTTTTTCCAACCCTCACTGTTACATATTCGTGCCACACCCTCGGGCAATTTCACATTTACCTCTGACTAAAGATCATATAAACATTCATGACACACCAAGAGATATACGTGAATACAGTAAAACATCTATGATGTCTTTATGTCTTGGTTCTGGTGTTGTTGAATACGTTTGAGAAGTTGGAGTCGAGAAAATTTACAAAAGTACCATTAGTTTCACTGCAAGATACCGAAAAGAAAGTTACAAAAGCTTGGCAAAGTAAATAAGATAAAAAGTAGCAAAGTATTATACGACACTGAGATTTTGTAAAAGTAGGAAATGATGCAAAGAAAATGCGGATTTGGATTGAAACTGGAGTTAAACAGGGATAAGAGAGAGAGAGAGAGAGAGAGAAAAAAGAGATAAGATTGTCCTAAAGGGAAATGCAAAATTATTAGTGAAGCAGTTGGGTAATAGGAAGGAAAGAAAAGGATAAAAAATGAGATACAAGGTATACAAGGGGGTGAAAGGAGTAACAGATGGAATAGCTATTTCCTTTTCTTGTCTCTCCTTTTCACTCTCGTTTCTCTCATCATCTTCCGCGCCCTCTAAATCGCCCGAGGGCTTCAATGATTACAGTAATTAAGCGTCTGTTTTAATTAAAACGGCATCCTGAACTTTTGCCGGAAGATCGACATTGTCATGTTAGGAGGGGGAGGGAGGAGCTATAGAGTTACACGATAAAAAAAATAAAGGGGAAGTAAAACCAGTAAACTGTGCAAGTAAATGTAATGTCAAGCACTGTTATATATTTCCTTCCCTTTTTTTCTTTTTAGTGTTTGTGATATTTATTTTATTACCAAGCTTAATCTTATTTTTATGTCGAATTTTATTTCCAAGTGATATAACACTATATCGGTGTTATAAGAGATTACTAATTTATTGTTTTCTTTTTTTTTTTTTTTTTATAACTCTAAAATGGATTATCGATTGAGCTTTGATGATTTAATAGATTCAATCAGAGCTGAAAAGCAATAAAAACGAATATAAAAATATTTTATTTAATTTTTATCAATCAATTGTGAACATTGTAACAATTAAATTGATTTGTCAATATTTTATCTTTATATTTTATTTTAATTAACATACTTTATTATAATTAAAGTATGAAAATAATTATAAGTTCACTAACAAAAAATAAAAAAGAAACATTAAAATTCAGCTCCAAAAAAGTAAAAAAAAAAAAAAACGAATTACTTTACTTTGCATGACGTTTAGTCTCTAGTCTTTCACGAACACTAGTGTTCACTTGCCTGCTCGTTAATCGCTCTAACTGCCATGCTAATTACCTGCGCCAGAGACACTTGGCGGCTAGATAAAAGATGTTCCAACCATACTCATGAACGATGAGATAGAAAGAGAACAAGTTTCGAGACACATTAAATTTGTTCAAGCATTTAAGAATAAATTTTATAGTTAATTTACAAAATATATATCATGCATTTTAAGCTCATTATATATCCAATATATTTATCACTATAATGTGCTAATTCTTTTACTCTTTATTTTCGTTCAAATGTGTTTAATATTGTAGATTTCACTTCCTTTCTGATAAGACAAACGTATATAAATGTATTTAAATATTTATTGAATGTACAACATAATACTGTGATAATAATTATTATTATCAACTTCCTTTAATTCTTATCGAGAGTAAAAAATATATATATATGTATATGCTCCTACATGTGTACTCATCATATCAAAATACATCAATTCCGTGCCAGTGCCGGGTAAATAAAATATGAATGCACGCAAGAGTTACTTTACACGCGAACGTGCTTTCTGTTTTCCGGTTAAATAACCATTGTATACAAAGGAATGAAGGTGAATAAAGTTAAGGAAATTATTTTATACAGTTAAACAGTTGTCGAAAGTTTTGTTCAATGTATGATAGGTTTCAGATAATCCCCGGGGAAGCTTGATGACAATCACTTTTCTCTAGATTTTATATTCACCCTCAGCTTGTCTGAGTATTTCACTCTTTACTTATACTTTCAAAGAGACAATGAACATCCGATTATTTTCAAAAACTTATTTTTATACTTTAAAAATTGTTGAAAATCATTTTAATTATTTTTATCTTCTAATTTTATCAGAAGAATTAGATAAATTATAAAAAAAAAAGTCAAGGCTTGATTTTTTCATTGAAAAAAAAAAGATTTGTTGATGAAAATAGCAACGACAATTAGTAGCTATTAAAAATAATTGATTATTTATAAACTAAATAACATTGATAAATAAATTAGATAATAATATAAGACAAAGTATTAATATTATTAACAAGATACAATTAAAATTAATTGCAATAGTTAGATTAAAAAATGGTGTGGTTTATGGTGTAGTGGTAGATATAAAATTAGCACGTGCCCATGGGATATTCGTAATTGGAAATCGATTTGCAGTTGGTCTGAATTCTTTCGCGCCTAGAGAGTGAACATGACAAGAGCCCGAATCCGTCACAACTCGTTTGACTAATTTACCAGCCGTCCAATTAGACTGACCGCGCAATACTTCAACTCACATACACCAGCTACATTCAATGATATTAGTAAAAGAGAAAAACTCACTTGTCTCTGTGTCGTTGTATTGTCTCTAACATTATTTGTGTTCAATGATT